GGTGCAAAAGGACCTGAGTTCCCCAGGACTCTGACGCCTACTAATACTACTGCTGCTGCTACTACTACCATTACTACTACTGCTGCTGCTACTACTACTACTACTACTACTACTATTAATACTACTACTAATACAACTGCTGCTGCTGCTGCTGCTACTAATGCCGTCACCACTACTACTACTACTACTTCTCTTCTTTTGCCTTTGCTGCTGCTGCTGCTGCTGCTACTACTACAACTACTGCTGCTGCTATTTCTTCCTCGTTCAGACACCTTCAAAAGTCAGTGTATGAAAAAAACTATCTTTACTGTCTGCATTTTAAATACGTTTTGTTACTCACTGCTAAGGCAATGTAGAAAGAGGGGTCGTGAGTCTGGTTTTAAGGCCGCGTGACTAGTGCTACATATTTTTCGGTGGAAGGAGTGTTCAATGTGCCCAGATTCCAGCACCCTTACACGACAGTGGGATTCGAACCTGCCACCGCCAAATCACGAGTGTCTCTCTGTGTATGATCAGATTTGTACTCTGACGCTAGGTCAAGTAGACCGAAAAAGGGGGCGGGGCGGTGCAAAGGGACCTGAGTCACCGGGAGCTCTAACCACCACCACTACTACTACTACTACTACTAATGTGATCACTGTCGTACTTTGTAACAGAGAGGCATGATGGGATTAAACATGGCCACTGTTTACATGTTACCCTGAGGATAGGATTCTCAGACGTTTTTATGAAGCTATTAAAGTTCACTACGTGGGGCAAAACTAATAGATGTTGTTTAAGTAGAAGTAAGCTCTATAAACTAATTTAATGAATTTGGTTGCGTGAAATGTGGTGTTTGAAAAGTTATTAATAACAGAAGGTGGGAAGTTAAAGTAGCGTCCATGGAAACGGCACCAAAAGTCATTTTCAAGATCATGTAAGTGTAAGAAAGATAATTACCAATTCGTTGATCTCCGATAACTAGAGTATTGAATGCAGCACTGTGAAAAATATTTCAAGAACAAGGTGGTTCTTGAAATACTGCAGTGAGACTTTAAATGATAGAGTTTTGCATATCAGATAAATAAAACTGCTAGATTGAGAGGAACGAGAGTGAGGAATGGCAGTGGCTGTGTTATTAACTGTTATTATTACTAACTATTGTAATCTATGGCGAACGTTCGTATACTACCATTAGGAGTGTGCGAACACACACACACACACATATATATATATATATATATATATATATATATATATATATTTATATATATGTATATATATACACACACACACACACAAACATACACTGCTACATATCCACTAAGAGTTACAATTCAGCATTAAAGAAATTGGCTCTTCCCCCGGCATTATGGCGGCCAAACAAATATCCCAACAGGGCCTCAGTCCTATTAAAAATATGCGGACTTCCGGCGACGAACAAATTGTGGCAAAACTTGGATTACCTGACAATTTCAAGAGACGCAACACTGCAGACGATAGTAGCAGACGATAATAGCAACCGTTGACACTTTCTAGCGTTTCTGCATACGATACTAACAGATGATGAGCCGTTGACAATTTCGAGACACGCAACATTACAGATGATAAAAGCCACATTTCAGGGAGACCACGCGCTCTGACGCAGATTAGTGTCGTTGTTGTCCTCAAACTTTTCGACATGCTTAAAACGCTGACAGTATCCCCTGCCCCGCTACGCGCAGCGCGGATGAAGGGCTAAACTAGATGCCTGGGACTCACAAGCAAATAAATTGGAGGAAGTTGCAGGAGATGCGGTAGCTGCTGCAGGGTCGGCGGTGAGGCATAGTCACAGAAACAGGTCTGTAATTAACATATCGCTGAGACCCTGTTAGAGCATTTTTTTCATTATACGGAGCCGATCCTAGTTTTGCCGCTCGGCAGGAAGTCCGAGAAGTCAGCATTTTTCATAGGACTAAGGCCCTTGTTAGGATATTTGTTTGGTCGCCATAATGCCGGGGTAGAAGTTCGGAGGAGAGCCAATAAATTAAAAATGTCTTATATTTTTCATATCTTATTTCTTTTCAGTCTTTGTTACTCAGACTATCGTTGCTGTAATCCTATCTATTCCAAGAAATTAGGCTTGAAAGCAACAAATGCTTACATCTAAATGGACTCAGTAAAGATGCTATGAGAAAGAAGTATTTGAACTAATAGATTGTATACAAAAGTTTAATGTAATGACTCTCTGTGTTAGAAAAAAGCAAGAATATTTTATCATTTTTTAAATGACCAAGAAATGTCTGGTCATTTGTTTGGTGGTAGTTCATCTTCTTCTTCTTCTTCTTCTTCTTCTTCTTCTTCTTCTTCTTCTTCTTCTTCTTCTTCTTCTTCTTCTTCTTCTTCTTCTTCTTCTTCTTCTTCTTCTTCTTCTTCTTCTTCTTCTTCTTCTTCTTCTTCTTCTTCTGCTATTTCTTCTTCTTTTTCTTCTTCTTCTTCTTCTTCTTCTTCTTCTTCTTCTTCTCTTCTTCTTCTTCTTCTTCTTCTTCTTCTTCTTCTTCTTCTTCTTCTTCTTCTTCTTCTTCTTCTTCTTCTTCTTCTTCTTCTTCTTCTTCTTCTTTTTCTTCTTCTTCTTCTTCTTCTTCTTCTTCTTCTTCTTCTTCTTCTTCTTCTCTAGCAGTCAGAGACCTTGACATTCATTGCTACAGATATCAAACAATTCCATTCATCTCTTGCCTTCTCTTTTCAGTTGGGGACTCAGCGTGCTTGTAGGTCTACCTGTATATTATCTCCCCCAAATTCGTTTTGGTCTGCCTCATGGTCTACTCCTATTCAACTTGTTTGCTTACACAGTTTTTGTCTCTCTGTTATCTGCCATTTTCTGTGTATGCCCTAACTATCTTACTCTAATAGCCCTCATGATGTCAGTAACTAGTAGTGATTTAAACAGATTATGTTGTTTTATACTTAAAGGGGTAATATCTTTTGCTCCATAATTAACAACAGTGGGGACTGTTCAAACAAAACCAGAAGAAAACTTGCTCTAACAATACCAAGGTTAAATAGAGGAGCCTCAGATACCACACCAGCAAAATTAATTTAATCAAACATTTTAAGAACATCATCTTTCTCTTGGTAATATACACATGTGAATTATAGACCATTTCACAATCACTGCAATAGAAAATGTCGGATTTTGAAGAGAAATGTTACTGTACCATTCTTAAAATGCTGCGGATCAAGAAAAACTAAAGATTAAAATCAAATATTGGCTCATAAACAGCCCTGGAAACTGAAATACTTTGACTTATTTAATTGTCGTGGTAGATGTCAAATACGGATAATAACCAAGATTTAAAAAAAACCAAAAAAAAAACAGGAGATTGTATTACTTTTTAAAAAAAAGGGCCATTTACTTGCTGCTTTTAACTGCAAATGCAAAACTGATTTACAATAACTGTTGGATATTGTGGGGATGGAGAATGTTAAGGACTTTCCTGGAATATTATAAAAACAGAAGTAATGATAATATCAAAGAAGAAGATAACACCACTGTGATACCTCAATGGAGGGGAAAAGACTTAACCAAACAATAAATTAAAATATCTGGGAACAATCATATCATCATATGGAAGACGAATGACAGAGATTAAAAGCAGAATAGGGCAAGGGAAGGCAGCATTTGAGAAAATGAAAAATATCTTATGCAATGAGTCACTGTCATTTAATGTCAGAAAGAGAATGCTAAAATGTTACATAGAACCTGTTCTGCTGTATGGCATTGAATCTTGGAATGTCAGTGAATACATTAAGAAGAATTTGGAAGTAACTAAGATATGGTTTCTGAGACGAATGTTACAAATTTGAGTACAAATTGGCCAGAGTAACTAATAATGATTGTTTGAAAAAAGCTAATGAAAGTAGATCTCTATATACATTGATAAGAAGGAGAAAAACACTGTTCTTTCACCACGTAATGAGTAGAGAAGCATTGGAAAACATCGTGACAACTGGAAATATCAGTGGAAATAGGGTTAGAGGCAGATCAAGTGAGATAATGCAGGATGGGCTGAAATGATGGCATGGTTATCATCAAGAGAGCTATTCCAGGCAACCAGGAATCGTGATCTGTGAAGATGCATGAGCACCTATGCCAGTTGGCAGGGCACATGATGGTAATGATGATTTAACAATGTGGAGACCAGATTTCTCAACTCTTTCAGTCCCAGGTAGTTGTTACCCAAACACTGTCTAGCCTAATGTTTTTGCATTTTTGAGCAACAATTTCAAGTCTTACAGAAATTGAAAAAACAAAGTGTTGAGACATTCAGAATTAAAGTATCAACTGAGAAATAATCGGTTAACGTAAAAGAAGAATGAATTTGAATGACCAGAGAAATGGGTGGCAAATAAAAAGTAAGGCTTCACAATTTATTTCTGCTTTCCATTCTGTCGTGTGTAATCACTTTGATATCATGGATGGAATCCAGTCTAGCACCTTTGGCTTCTCTTATCAACGCTCACCTTAGGGTTTCTCTTAGATGTTCTTGTTTTCTCAGTCCCTCTGTTTCCTATTTCAGGCCCTGTTTGGTGATTCTCATCTTTTCTCAGAATGATACCAGAATGGCATCTGTTCCTGCAAGTTTCTTTAGCAAATAGTTTTTACAAGGTGGGGGAGTTTGGCCCCCTGCCCAACCCTCATCCTTTTTTATCCGGAATTGGGACTGGCAGTGGCGGATATAATAACTACTTGGCCACAATGTCATGCTTAAATTTTAAGATGGAAATATGAGGCATGTAAAGTATGACCACATTTATTTCAGTATGTAATTTTTCTGCAAATATATTATGGTTTTCTGAGAGCTTTATCATTCACCCTTTTAAAAAAATTTGTTATTTATTCTCCTTGAAGGCTAAACCCAACCACAGAACACAAATGAGTTCGCCATTTCATACTTTAAAAAGGAATAAAGTGCCCTTGTTTCCTGGTCACATGACTGGCAACAGACCAATACCATTCCGCCAGCCCAATTACTCGGAGGATGAAAGTCGTCTGCTGGAAGAAATCACGTCTGGGAATGGTGCAAGATCGCAAGAAACATGACCCATTTATGGGAGTTCCACATCTGAATAATTCACCAAGGAAGTCCTTCCAAAAGAAACTTGATCCTTCCTTGCCTGGGGTTTCTGTTGAAAAAAAGAATGAAACAAAAAGCACCCCATCTGATTATGACCTGATGCGAGTGATGATGAATAAAATCACGGTTTTAGAGAAACAGGTAACGTAAACTGAGGAGGAGGTGAAGAAGTGTCATAGGTCACCTGTAGATGATATTGATAACATAGAAAATAGTAACAGATGATTAACAAATGGATGAGTAGATAAATAGATGTCAAGGATAAATGAATAGATGAATAGAAGTGTAAACAGATTAAAAGCTATTGAGTGACTAAGTATATTAGTAAGTGGATGAGTACATAGCTATGTAGACGGGTAGGTGGGTGAGTACATACAAATGTAGATTGGTAGGTGGGTGAGTACACAGGTATGTTAATTGGTAGGTGGGTGAGTACATAAGTATGTAGGTTGGTAGGTGGAGGAAGGGGGTACATAGTTAGGTATACATTAGTCAGTAGATTGGTAGCTGGTTGAGTACATAGGTAAGTAGAATAGTAGATGGGTGACTAAATAGGTACCTGGGAGATCGATGAGAACATATGTAGATAGACTGGTAAGTGAGTACTTAGGTAGATTGGTAAGTAGATTGGTAAATGGGTGAGTTCATAGGTAAGTTGATTGATAGACGGGTGTACTTAGGTAGGTAGATTGATAGATGTGTGAGTACTTAGGTAGGTAAATTGGTATGTGTGTGAGTACTTTAGAAGGTAGATTGGTAGACTGGTGAGTTCATAGGTAGATGGGTGAGTATTTAAGTAGATAAATTTGTAGATGGGTGAGTAAATAGGTAGGTAGATTGATGAGCAGACAAGCAAGTTGGTAAGAAGTTGGGTAGATGAGTGGATGAAGAGTTTTATTGATAATGTGATGAATGAATGGATATGCAGATGGTGAATGAGTAAGTAGATGAATGCATAGATGTATACAGGGATAAATAATTAATAGTTAGGGTAATGGATGTTTGCATTAATGAATGGATGAAACGAACAAAGAAACTTTATTTCCAGTGGGTCATAAACTGGGCACAGAGGGCCATCTCACATTCAACCCTTTCAAACACTCACACACACAAGGCAGAAAAACAAGCAAGGCAATAGAACAGACACAGACACACACACATACACACAAATACACTTACTTACATACATGGATATGCACACACTCGCAAAACATGCACTTACATATGGCATATTCATAGTGCCAGAACACACACAGAGACAGCACAAACATACAGACACAAAACACACAGTCATGATATACAGACAGATATAATACACAAACACAACATACATAGACAACAATCACACACATACACATACACACACACGCATGTATGCATGCAGGCACGCACGCAGGCAGGCAGGCATGCACGCACGCACACACGCACACACACAGCACATAAAACACCACACACAGTCTCACACACACACACACACACTCACAGACACAACACACACAGATACAACACACGCAGCAACACACACAAACACAACTTACACAGACGCAATACTTACGTACAGACCTAAAAATAAAACATTCACACAGCCACTAACACAACACATACACACAAACACAACACTAACACAGATACTACATACATTAACACAAGACACACAGTAACAATAATACACAAAAAAACAACCTACACAGCACACACAACACAAACACAACTTACACAGCACACACAACACAAACACAACCTACACAGCACACACAACACAAACACAACTCACACAGCACACACAACACAACCACACCATACACACAGATGGGTAAACAGACAGGCAGGTTGTTGCATGATTAATGGGACAGATGTCTGGATAGTTGGACTAATTGCTATATGATTTTATGGATGAGATAATAATTGTCTTCGACAACATATCCTCAGAATCTGACACAAGAAAATGAACTTCGTCTAAAAGAGAGACAGATTCAGGTGTTGGAAGATAAACTACGAATTGCTGAGAAAGCGAGAAAAGATAATGTTAACTCAGCAGACATCAAAGATTTGGAAACACATTGCTTGCTGCTACAACAGCAGGTTGGTTTGATTTTATGTGTCCACAGTATAACTGTTGAGTAATTTATCAAGACTAGTAAAATGCAAGTAATATCAAACATGAATACAATCGTGACCTTGGTTGGCCAATGCCATACATTTATTTTGTTAGCTTTGTCTTCAGCACTCAGAGCTCTTGAGGTTCATTGCTGCAGATATCACGTTTCCATTAATTTCTGTGATTGGCCTTCTCTTTCCAGTTGGTGAGTCAGCTATCCTCCGAATAACGGTCGGTAAAGATGGCAGCCGCAAAATATCCTTTCGAGCCACAGTCACATGTTAATGCGCACTTCCTGCCACTTAATTTGCGGTTCTCCTGCGGTTTTCCTGCGACTACCACCACCGCCACGAGTCCCCCACGCCGCGTGGATTGGGGCTAAACAAGATGGCTAAGACCCACAAGCAGCAGCTTCCGCATCTCCTGAAGCTTTGCTCCTGAGTCCTAGCCATCTAGTTTCGCCCCAATCCACACCGCATAAGCTCGTGGCGGTAGTCGCCGGAAAACCGCAGGAGAACCGCAAACTAGGTCACGTGACTGTGACTCGAAAGGATATTTTGCAGCCGCCATCTTTACCGACCGTTATTCGGAGGATAGCCGGTGAGTCAAAGTGTTTGTAGGCCTGCCTGTATATTATCTCTCCACAATTATCTCGGTCTGCTTTTTTGTCTTCTCTCGTTCAGCTCTTTTGTGTATTCAGTTTTTGTCTATTATCTGTGTTATCATTTTATCTGCCTTATCAATTGCAGTCTCTTAGTCCTAAAAATATCAGTCTTTTTTCTTCATCTTTGATCCATCTGTCAGAAAGCTTATAACAGGAGGCCGTTGCCTTTATGAAAGCTATCCTGCAGACCCAATCTCCATGTGTACCATATAGCTTTGTCTTCAATTAGGTTGGAACAGGCCAGATTTTGTCACTGTTAGCAGCACATAGCTGACAGTTTTGGAGCACATGCTCACATTTTCTGGTGCCTAGTTGCAGGAAAATGGGCTATCCTTCGATTAACGGGCACTAAAGGTGGCGTTCGAGCCGCAGTCACGTGTCAACTGCGCGCATCCGGCTACTTAATTTGCGGTCTTCCGGCGGTTTTCCACCAACAACCACTACCGCCACGTGGCCCCCATCGAAGGATAGCCGGAAAATGTCTTCATGTTTCCTACAGCGAAAAATGTTAACATATGTTGGCAAAGTCTGTTGTGCCCTGTCTTTAGTCTAAATATAACACACTGTCCTGTCTCAAGAGGTGTGGTGCCAATAATTAGTTTTGAACTTAAAAAACAAGTTGTGAATTTTGTTGTTGCTTCTCTCACTCCCTATTCTCCATCTTTTGTGTCTGATAGCTCATTATATGTTGTACTTCATTATATTTTGATGTAAACTGTAGTGCACTTAACGAGATCGAATATATTAATACAGGTAATAAATTATGAAAATTCGTTGTGTCTGCATTATTTAAACTATGAAGTGGTTTAGTGGCCAGGCACTTGCCTGCTGGCCCAAAATCTGGTGTCGAATCCACACCAAATCTTTCTTTTTTAGTTTTTTCCTTTCCAGAAATGACATTACCTTCCAGGTCAACCCAGCTTAAATTGGTACAAGGTAAATGTCCTGGGTGATGTTGACCTCATCATCCATCGAGTGCTACTAAAATATGAGCTTAGCATCATATGCCTGATACACCTCAGGCTTCCGGTCAAAATGGACGCTAGGCAGGGGCACTGTTCAAAACCGAGGCAAATTTTTTGCTTCTGCCAGACGGTGGCCGATGCATTTTTGCTCCATTTGTAGACTGAATATAGTTTTGTCGCCCAGCTTTTGAACTGAATGCATGGCATGACACTGTGACCTGCGGATTTCCTTTGGAATGTTTTTTGACTGTGACCAAAGTGATGGTGTGAATTGTAGATTCAGAAAATGGCGCATGGGCAACTGCTGATCTGTTGGTGACTTCTGCTACCATCAATGATGAACTGCATTTTTAATGTCGGAATGTTTGTGTTAGCACTTCGGATGGCTACCATATGCTTTAATGCGAGTGTATGCTAGATATGCTGAGACAGCAGTCTGTCAATCTTTCCACAAGGGACTGTGATAAACATTCTGTGTGTTTTTCGTTGGCACAGGAGCGGAGCAAAGATGGGGTGACCTGTTTGCTATGAAGCTGAAACTAAGACTACCAGACCAGACCACAGGCACATGAGAAAGAGTCTTTTACTTGTTTTTCATTTGGACTAAATTATCATTCACATAAATACAAAACTATAATTGTCAGCCATCATTAATGTTTTATTTTATTGTCTACATGTATCTGCTACAGGTTCATGAGATGGAGACCTTCCTGGCTGAGTACGGAATGGTTTGGGTAGGGGAGTCTTTGAATGAACACTCTGATGTCTACCTCGAAGATGCAGATCACATCGCTGAAAGTGATGAACAAAATACATTTACAGTCACCTCAAACAGAAGTGAATCTTCAGACGGCTCAGTAGCATCTTCAAATCCATTTGGTGTTTGGCAGCAGGATGTATCATTACCCGTGGTGCAGTCATCACCGAGTTTGGACTTTAACCAACTGGTTGAAAATGTTAAAGATCTCAATGTCCTGGCTGGCGAAGGAGTCGCACAAATTAAGAAAACTACTGATGGAGCCAGGTTCGAGATCCCTGAACCAGTGCAGTTAACAATTTATGCTAATGGCATCTTGATGTTTGATGGACCTTTCAGGCCTTATAACGACCCAGCCACACGAAGGTGTGTCCAGGATCTTTTGGATGGTTATTTCCCTTCAGAGCTTCAGGGCAGGTAAACAACTATGTTTAAAAACATGTTAATTTACCCTGCAGGGGACTAGATTTCGACCTCCGAGAAGGAGATTGATGTTTTTTTTTTGTTGGGGGCAAAAATAAACATTCTAACCTGCACAGTCTGTGGCCACAGACAGCTCTAGCCATGAAGCCTTAAATCTTCAGACTCACAGCCCCCTGCCCTGTCTACACCTCCCTGCCCTGTCTACACCTCCCTGCCCCTGTCTACACTTCCCTGCTCTGTCTACACCTCCCTGCCCCTGTCTACACCTCCCTGTCCCTGTCTACACCTCCCTGTCCCTGTCTACACCTCCCTGTCTACACCTCCCTGCCCCTGTCTACACCTCCCAGGCTCTATCTACACCTCCCAGCCCCTGTCTACACCTCCCTGCCCCTGTCTACACCTCCCTGCCCCTGTCTACACCTCCCTGCCCTGTCTACACCTCCCTGCCCCTGTCTACACCTCCCTGCCCTGTCTACACCTCCCTGCCCTGTCTACACCTCCCTGCCCTGTCTACACCTCCCTGCCCCTGTCTACACCTCCCTGCCCCTGTCTACACCTCCCTGCCCCTGTCTACACCTCCCTGCCCCTGTCTACACCCCCCTGCCCCTGTCTACACCTCCCTGCCCCTGTCTACACCTCCCTGCCCCTGTCTACACCTCCCTGCCCCTGTCTACACCTCCCTGCCCCTGTCTACACCTCCCTGCCCCTGTCTACACCTCCCTGCCCCTGTCTACACCTCCTAAAGAATAAGAAGAGGTAAATACAAACAGATGACAATAAATATATTAGAAATTTATGTTTGATTGCACTAGAGCAGTGGTTCTCAACCTTCCTAATGCCACGACCCTTTAATACAGTTTCTCATGTGGCGGTGACCCCCAGCCATAAAATTATTTTCTTTGTTACTTCATAACTTCAGTTAATATGTGTTTTCCAATGGTCTCAGCCAACCCCTGTGAAAGGCTTGTTCGACCCAAAAAGGGTCGCGACCCATAGGTTTAGAACCGCTCTACTAGAGCATTGTTCCTATGGTGACCATAAGTCCCTTTTTCACCAGAACAGTATTGTTTTTAGGTGTATTTACATTCATTGTCAACTGGAACAATGAAAAGTTTTTTTGTGTGTAAGTATTCACGGAATGGTCTGGACCAACCTAAAAACTGATACTGTCCCGATGATGTGGTCATGGAGTCTTACTCAATCAATGAAAAAAAAAAAAAAATCAGTTATTGAACTGAAATGCTACATAAAAATTCTTAGAATACCATGGACCAAGAAGAAGAAAAACACTGACATTCTACATGACCTTAACATCGAGAAGCACTGGCTCATAAACAGCATCCTGTCCCAGAAGTTGAGGTATTTTGTCCATGTCAAATGTCAAGGTGACCCGGAGGGAAGGTGATGGAAGGTACAGTTTCCAGAGGATGAGGGATAAGCAGATCTCCACAAAGGTGGGTACGAGACATTGAAGATGTCTTGGCTATGAAAGCACATAGGGCTAAGAACGACCTAGAGAAAGAGAGACTTTCAGGCTTTCTGTGATAAAAGCAGCGTTCTGTAAAAGAACTGCTTAATGACGATTATAATTAAATAATGAGTGTTATTTGGTAGGAAACTGAACAAAACCTTTTATAGATCATTCTAAGCTCAGTGGCTTTAGAATCATCACCTTACAAAACACATTTGGGAAGGTCTTGGAGAAGATAGTTGCTGTAAAGCTGCAAGAATTTTTGGGAAGGGGGAAGCTTCTCCAAAGAGGTCTGGGAAGCTGCAGGCCAGAAAAGGACACTTGGGCAAATGCGGCCACTTTTGCTTTTGACGTCTATAAAGGGTTCCAGAACAGACAGGAAACTATGGCGGTAGGACTGGATCTCGAGGATGCTTATAACAGAGTGAGATACGACATCTTAATGACTGCACTGAGTGAGAAGGAGGTCAGTCCATGGCTGGTGAATTGGGTTGCAGCTGTCCTGTATTCACGTCGGGTTGCTCTCCGACTGGGCTCATGGACCTCAGAACCATGCACTTTGGCCCCAGGACTGCCACAGGGATCTGCCATCTCGCCTGTGCTCTTCAACGTGTATACGAGAAAGATTGCAAGCCTAGAAACACCAGGAGTTGGAAGGATACTGACTTTTGCGGATGATATACTTGCATATAGGCAGGGGGAAGAGAGAGAACAAACAGCCCGGGAGCTACAAGCGACAGTAGACAAAGTGACTGAGTGGTGTACAGAAATAAGGGCTGTCGTCCACCCATAAAAGGGGTCTGTTTTGTGGCGTCCTCTGGACAACAGGATTGTTGAAGCTAATGTCCCAAGTCTCACGATAGATGGTAGAAACATCAACAGAGAGAGCAAACTGAAGTATCTGGGAATTACATTTGACAGGAGCCTGTCCTTTAAGGACCATGTGGAGAGTGTTGTGACGAGATGTCAAAAAGGACTTAGTGCAGTTAAGACTATGGCTGCAATTGACATAGAGCAGAGAATGCTTTTCACACTATATGAGCACCTGATCTTGTCAGTTATTGATTATGGCCTGGGACTGCTTACCGTCTCAAAGAGACAGATGGACAAACTAGAGCGCATACAGAACGCGGCTATGCACCAGAGACACCCCAGTGGTGTGTATGCGATACATCCTTGGTTTGCCGACGGTTGCAGGTAGGCACAAGGTGCTGCAGGTGAAGTCATATCTCAGGAAAGCTGCAGACGCAGACCACCCTCTGCATGAAGCTCTGGGTGCAGTTAAAGGTCAGCGGCTGTTAAGAGGAAGATCATGGATGGCTCAGGCAGAAGACACAATCAGACAGGTTTGCATCCTTGAGAACATTAGGCGAGGAGAGGAGTGGGTCAAAGTGCCACCTGAGCAGTCAGACTTGTGTAGAGTCATAATCACACTGAGCCGGGAATGCAGAGACTGGCCAGCAGGTGCCACAGAGGTGGTAATTCAGTATTTAATTCAAGATAATGCTTGCTCAGAGGATTTGATCATTTACACAGACTGTTCAGTGTCAAGAGGCAAAAGAAGTGCTTGGGGATTCTTAGCAAAAGTTAATGGTCGACTTTTGATGCAGGAGAGCCTAGCATATGATACCACAACATCCAGCTTAAGAATGGAGGTGGAGGCAGTCACTGTAGCTTTTGGCTGGCTAGAGAACACGACAAACACACACACATCATGACTGTAACTGATTCAGAAAGCATGCTGAGGAAGATCAGAACAGGTATGCTTCGTGCAAAGTGGCATGCTTCGCTGTGGAGGACACGGATGAGGAGTATTGTCTGGATTTTTTCACCGGGAAATGCCGGTGTGTTGGGAAATGAACAGGCGGACAGACTGGCTGGCTCTGCACAACTTGGTGGAATACTGATACATGATTAGGCAGACATGGTTAGTGCCTTGTGGGAGAGCGTGTACAGTTCGGAAGAGCAGATGGATCACCACAGTCTGGTGAGATTGATGCAGGGGGGGGTGACGAGAGGTTCTGGCAGATGCTCGAGGAAAGGCAAGACGGGCGTTTAATCAGAAAGCTACTGGCACCATTAGTATCGGAACTCTTCGCTGGCTGCTGAAGATGGGGACAGAGCGCTTATGGGAATGCCCCGAGTGCTGTGATATTGGTTCTTTAATCAAATCAAATAAAATCAAATCATAAAGCATTTTAAATATTTATTTTACTAGAGTCATTATAAGAATAAATGAAGTGTACACTTTTTAAAATTATTGTCAATGAATAAATTAACCCAGAAAAAAATGAACTAGTGGAACTGTACAGCTTTTAAGATTACAATCAGATATAAAAAAAAAAATGAATGTGTGGAGAATAAGCCTTTATCAGCAAACAGTAACAACCACAGAAACCACTACAGCTACATTTTAAATGCTGCAAAGATTTATACTTAGCTGAAACATGAATCTTTCACAGAAAACCTGACAACAATCTTTTCTTTTCTTTGTGTCAACACTAGTTTTATCAGGTTATGGTGTGGTCGTGTTTAAATAGATGGCCATTTTCTTCGTGAAATAGACTCCCAGGTCGGTCTAGCCTCAAATGTGTATGAGGAGATTTCCTGAGAAGAATAGGCAGTGTGTTGGTATTTTTTCCTAAGTGATGAAAGAAGAGTATCCTACATACCTTGGAGTCACACTTGACCGGCAGCTCAGCCTCAAGAACCATAATGAAAACACGCAATGAGGCAGTTACAGTTATTGAAGAGACTTGCAGGGGATCAGACAAGGAAACTCTGAGGGGCTTGTATCTTGGATATGTTCGCTCTGTGATAGAGTACAACAACTCACTGCTTACAACCTGCTCAAAACTATTCTAGAGACCCTTGACAAAGTACAAAATAATGCCCTCCGGTTAATATGTGGAGCTTTGCGGTCTACTCCAGCTGCTGCTTGTAAACTCAATAAAAATGCGGAACTCCTCGGGTTGCCAAGAGAAAAAGCCACTTTAGAAATTATGATAAATGGGTAGAATGAATCGTAACCATCCTAATAGACACCTTGTAGAAAACTGGGAATACAAATAAAGAATAAAGCACAAATCAGTTTCACACTGTGTACATGAAATACAGGACAGATACCACCTCTCAGAAAGACATCAAGGTATTCAGAATGTTGCAAGAAACCTACCACCACATGCTCGCTTTAAAGCTCCAGCAAGAAACCTGTCACCACATGCTTGCTTTAAAGCTCCAGAAGTCCAAATGAAATTGGTAGATGAAGAAACCAAACAGTCCGACCCACTTGCCCTAATGAATTCATCTCTAAAGACCATTGGTTCTTACCCCAAAGAATGGATACATGTTTACACTGATGGATCTACTGGAAGAGAGGTCAGTATGTACATGGCTAGCCCTGATCCTAACGACAGCATTAACCATCTAACAAGAAGGTACCACTATCTTCAGACTCAGAACACAACACACTCCACTCAATGGACATCTAAACAGAATACAGCCACAACACTTCCCAGAGTGTCAGCTATGTAAATACCCCTACGAAACTAGATCACCATCTCTTTGAGTGCCCAAAACTCAGCGAGACTAGAAGAATGCTACTCCCTCCGAGACCAGACAAGTGGAACATCTAATACGGAGGAAAAGAACAGCTTGTGAAAACATGCAAATTCCACTACATGGCATTGGGCTAGAGATCAAAAGCTCATGCACCGCTGGATGGATAACAACAACAGCAACAACAACACATACTGCAGTCTCAGCAGAGCTAATAGCATTCTGATTTACTGATTTCAGAATCGACATAATAACACACTGGGCATACCCATAAATGCTCTGTGTGCTGCAGCAAATGTCTTAAGGTGTAGATGCTAACTTTTCCCGCAGCACACTGATTATATACACGTCATTCTCTTCCTCTCATCTGTTCCCTCCTTGCCGGATCCATACTAAATTCCCCGTTCCCACATTCTTTCACATGTTATTTTGTCTAATCTTGTATCTTCTGTCACCAGTCGTTCATGTATGGTCTGCAGAATATCACCCTTGTCCCGTAGCTTTCACTTTTGCAGTTGCATACACTACATTTAACACATAAGGCAGCCATCAGAAGTGCCAACCCCTTTAGTTTTACTTTGAAATAATATTTTTAAAATTCTAACAAATGTTATTCTTTTGACACACAAAACAGGTATCCTGATGGTGTCCCCTTTGCCTTCACTCACCTAGCGGGTGACAGAACCACTTCAATAACATTACCCCTACAGTGTTGCAGAAAGACAGCAAGGTACCACTAACATGCCTCATGACATATAAACAAGTCCTTTAGTTTTATTTTTACAAGTAGAAATAATATTTTAAAAATTCTAACATATGTTATCCTTTTGACCCACAAAACAGGTATCCTGATGGTGTCCCCTTTGCTTTAACTGACCTACGTGAAACCTACTTCCAGCCGACACTGACCCCTGTAGTGTTCGCAGGGGAAGGTCAAACACTGGGCGGAGAAGTTAAACCATCACGTCTGATTTCAACCATCATACGAGATCTAACTGGAAATATCCAGTTTCCTTCCTATGAAGTCACCACACAGACTGCAGCTTCTGGTATGTACACAGTCTTTTTCTCACCTCAGTTGATAAAGTTAAATTGCATAGACGAGTGCAATCCTTGAAAATTGAACTTGCCATCTGGTCCCAAAATCCTCAGGCTCAAAGATGCTCCTGTCTACACCATCCTATACAATTGTAAATACAGGCACTAATGCCAGTTTGACAATCTTCTGAGTCCATGCTATATGGTGTTTATCATCATGTCTGTCCATAGCCTTCTGTCTTGTATACTGCTAATCATTTCTGATTCACATGCAGTAATCATTTTCACACTCCATGAACATGCTTCAAAAATCACAACCGGTAGTTTACACTTGGAATAGGTAGAAAGCATTCAGATGTCGCAATTAACCTCCATCACCTGGATCTACACACCTGGGCATGCAGGAGTAAAAGTAATGACCAAGCCAACCAGCTGGCAAGAAATGCACACTTAACTTCACTCGCCAGTGTGACACATAGGTGTGCAGGTCTAGTCTGGCAACACCCAGACTAGAACATACCTTCACGCATATCACTCGAGCTCCCTGATCCCGCGCTACAGCTACACAAATGTATCCTTCCATTTCAACTTTGTAGAGTCCACTGCTCAATGGGATCAATGTTCACCTTCTTTCCTGAATTTCCCCATGATTTCCTCCCATTGCAGTTTTACAGGTCCTTGACCCCGTGATCTCTGCAAATTGGTCTACGGTTCAATTGACGTATTGCTCCATTAACTGTTTGAGTTCCAAGGAACGCATCATACATTCATAGGTTCCTACCTAAAAGCCCAATGAACGCATGTTGCGCCGATTTTATGACTCTATTTACTACTGTGATACTAAACTCTCTGGGACTCAAAGAGTTGAGTATGAATCTAAACTGCAAGGGACAGCAGTGTTGTAATACATGGACTATTTAACCAAGGGACATGACCCTTTCATATATCCATAAATTGCTCACAACAAACATGTTCCTGTCCCACAAAACTATCCCAGAAGTTAACCCGGTCAACAAATGCTCGATGAAGTCAAATGTTTCGACTGAAAGGCGCAAATATCGCAGCTCTGCTGTAAACAGGCACAACCCATTTACACCACCCGGGCAAACGAAAAGAAGAAGAAACCATTGAGTCTGACTTCAACCATCTTACAAGATCTCACTTGAAATATTATTTTAAAGCCCCACCCTAGCTGTTGCTCAATTACTTGTTGCAGTTTAAATTTTCAAGTTACACTTTAATTTGCTGTGTTTAATCATTCAAACCGTACATTTTTCTGGACATATAATTGTGAGTATTGACAATTTTCTACCATAGACATTTTTCAAATGGCTTACATTACAAACGTAAAGGTTGCTCCAATCAAGTATACCTACCGGGACTGGCATAAGCCTGAAACCTTTGTGGTGACAGTAAGGGGTCCCGGAGCCCACAAGCAGTCGAACTATGACAACCTAATGTCGGTCCTGATTGGCCCTGGGGGTGTACCCCCTGGCCAAATCCGGGATCTGTACAGGCTGCAGGATCCATTACGTTTCTACCTTGAGCTATACGAAACTTGTTCGAAAAATATCACTGACAAACTGCACGGAAGGATACTGTCCAAATCCGGCGATGCCGTAGTCATCCAAGTTTTCTCCACGAAGTTGGAGAAAACAACCATTGACCTTCACTGGATTCCTCCAACCTTGACCAAGGACGGCGTGATAGACATCGCCAAGGCAATCACGGGAGATGACAACCCGGAGGTGGAGATAGCAGAAGGCAGGGGGAAAAGATGGAGGGTGCGTTGTAACCCTACAACTAAAGACATCCCGCACTACGCCCAAATCGAGACGCCCGGGATACCGACTTATAAAATCCACATCGTCATACCTGGCAGACCCACACCATGCCCGGTGTGTAGGAAAGACGGGCACTGGGTGCCCAAAAAAACGCTGCAACCTTCCAAAAATTTTGGAGGGGGAACCAACCCAGGGTTTCACCCCAACCAAAAGGGAGACAACCCCCAAAACATCGAGGGTTTTTTACCGCCTGTGGGGGAATAGAGTGGCAAAGGCGGATTCAGGGAAAACATCTCCAACACCCCACCAACCATCTGGGAAAGCTTCCCTCCTGACGGAAAATTTTCCGCACTCGCCCCCCGTATTCAGAGTCACCCCAAAAAAACCAGACACATCACAAAAAAATCCGGGGTTAAACAGAAATCCGAGAAAGTGCAGTGACAACTTGAGAAAAAAGGGATGACAACCCCCTCAACGTCACCAGAATCGCCCCAACCAACGAGGGAAAACCCATTCGTTGACCTTGACCCTGAAACCACGGTATGAGCCGAGCAAAATGTCCGCAGAAGGGGTGACCCAAAAGGGAAAAAGCTAACTTCTCACCCAAGTGAAGACAGGAGCCAAACCCCCTGCAACATCCC